AGGCTTATCTTCCAAGCTAGGAATAATTTTTTGCACTATACACGTGACTAACTCTTCGCAGGTTGCGGACCACTGCATCATTTATCTGTTTAGTGAAAGTGCTCAAAAGGATTATAGCAAAAGGAATGCAGCCACACCAAGGGTGGGTAGTAGCGAAGTAGTTGTACTTCGCTACTGTAGCGAACTACAATTTTCAAGTAGCCAGTAGTTTTTTACTACTTTTTTAAAACAGTAGCTGTAGTTATAGCGAACTACATTTTGCCTAAAAGTAGCCAAGTAGTTGACTACTTTTCAAACAGCGAATCGCTACATTTTATAATTGTTAGCAACTTGATAGAATAGCATGATATTTAGACACGGTTTGCTTAAAATCAATCCTCAATAGTCAATTTGCACTCCCGAACACTATAGTCTGTGCTATAGTGCTTACAAAAATATTGCTTTCTGTCAACTGTTGCTACTCATAAGTCGATTTGTTATAGGTTACATTACAGCCTGAGTTAGTAGATGCTCCAAATATAGTAAAACTAAAAAATATAGCGTAGCGAAATAGCGAAATAGTTCGCTACATTTTTTAAGCAGTAACTGTAGTCAGTATCGAACTACCTTTATTCAAAAGTAGCAGTAGTTGTAGCTGACTACATATTTTTGAAGTAGCTGTAGTTATAGAGAACTACAAAAATTTTGTAGTCAACCCATTCTTGAGCCACACCAATGAGTGTTGCGACCATTGTAAAGCTTTGAAGGCTATAGTCTTGACGACATAAATGAAAAAGTAACAGAAGCCAAATTTCTCTTGTACATACTGTATACCTATACACAGCACATGCATGTACAATGAACATATAACACATATGTTCAGATAATAAAGTATATTTCAAGTTTATAATTACTAAGTATTGATTCAATTCCTTTCGTGGCGCGACAGACCGGTGGATGCCGTTTGTACGGTAAAATATAACATGCGGCATTGCATGAATTTTGCTTTACTTCATTCACTTGAACTCATATATACGTGCTGAACCCGAATTGGATGCAATCGTTACTACACCCACATATTATAAATTAAGGTTAAGCTGCTTTTGCATGAAAGAAGATCATACACTGAGTGCACACCGCGGTGTTTGTGATATGCAGTTATTTTTTAGCATTTTTGTGACATTTTTGTGACATAATGCTTTATATACCGGAGTTTTATCGGTTTAAAAGCTTAAAATCTCGTAACTTCCATCCATAGTCATATTCTTTGTATTCTTCCAACGCTATAACTACCAAACTTAATTCTCAAGAATGTTTTACCAGGGACGCTGGAACGACGTGAAGACAAGGGGGGGGGCAGATTTTCGTGAAAGGGCACTTTTGGATTGATACTATACTACATGTAAGAGATGTTTGCAAAACATCGGGAGTTGAACTTTGCCTAATCATGTTTTCTATTTATTGGATGATAGGGGTGTGAGGGGGTTCTCCGCCAGGCGATTGTGCTATTCTTGAAGCTCCATGACTGCATTTCTTGCGTTTCTGAAGCAAATTCGTAAAAGAATTGCACTAACATATCTGACAATTCGCTATTTCGCTAAGGCAATCCTTTAAATTGAAAGGGCACCTTTGCCCCCCTTGCCCCTCCTGGTATAGGGCAGCGGGGGCGGCTGCCCCTCCTGCACCCCCCCCCGTTCCGGCGTCCCTGTGTTTTACTGCCGTTCCAATCGAAGTGTTCCTCAAATATTGATTCAATACATTACCTCACGGTGACCAATTCATTTCATCAAGTTCCTCGAGATATTCATACACTTCCTAGTATAATTGTAAACTTCCCTTTGAATAGTTTGAATGCACCAATCACCTATTCAAAGGGAAGTTTACAATTATACTAGGAAGTGTATGAATATTTCGAGGAACTTGATGAAATGAATTGGTCAGCCCGAGGTAATGTATTGAATCAATATTTGAGGAACACTTCAATTGGAACGACAGTAACTATCAGTTTTTGTATCTGCGAATACAGATATATTGCTATCGTGCGCGTACCGGAAGTCTGTAAGCGTGCTCATAGCCAATCAACAACAGCGTAAATGACGTATGATACTAATTTCAAATGGCGGTTTACTGAAGGGTGAAATGTGAATTACAGTCAAAACATCGTCATTTTACTAGTCTGAATATGGCAAATGTCGATAGTGCATTTGTGGCAACCATTTGAAGGATTTCATCATTTAATACGCAGTGGAAACGAACTGATTCGCAATTTTGACAAGAAAATTGACTAATGGCATTGAGAATATTATTATGAAACTATGAAAGTAATGATTCTTCCACATGTTGCCGTTGTTGGTGTATATTGAGTTGTAAGTGTTGATCTTTCATGTACTTCTCAATTTAGCATTTTCATTGGTGATTTTAATTAATATAAATTAGTTGAATGAAACCAATAGAAGGTTATATAATTTCGCAAGGTTACATAAATAATAACATAATTTCTTTATCAATGTGTGCTCCCTTCTTCATCCACCCTGATTTCTGCAACTGAATGTCATTGACAAGAACACCAAGTAAGCAATTTATATCCCCCTTCCCCTATCCCATACTATATTGTCTTACAATCAACAACAAGCATATGTCATAATGGGATCTGATTTATAGCACACAATGTACAAACTAACATAGTATTCTGTTTATTGGATTTTCTTCCACGACAAAATATTATTGCATGGATCTGGTATGCTGAATTATATCATTCTATTCAAGAACTATATGCATCGATTATACTTCTAATTTCCATACTAGTCATCATTTGTCACTGATGAATGATTTTCAATATATGACCTATTTTATATATTTACTAGGAATAAACAGTTGATTTGTGTGCTATCAACCCTGACTATGACATTTTCTAAAATGAAATAGATCAATTATAAACAGCAGAAATGTTGATGTTATGTATCAATTATGATATAAAAAGGCTTTCAAAACTGTGCAAATGTTTATTGGCACCACCTGTTATCCTGACAACTTCTATGCATCTACAATGTTCTCGCATGCCTGCTAAAGTTTATTATGAACTATCAAGAAGATTTGGAACCCGAAATGTTTCAACAAGAACACAGCGATGGATTTACTGGGGGGGGCCGGGGGTGCCAGGAGTGCCGGGAAGGGGGGGGGCTGCACTCCCCTAGCCCAGGCCAGAGGGGGTGCAGGGGGGCGGGGTGCTATTTTTCATGATAAAGCAAAAAATTATTAGAGACAAAATGAGATACAGTAATTTGAGTAATATGATGATAAGCGAACTGTAAACAATAATTACTATTCAAATACTGTAGTCACGCACGACTTTGCACTAGTGAAGCAAGTTGATGAGCGGGCGGCACGCATGTCCGACACAACTCGGCACCAGAGCTGGCAGAGCACCATTATAAAACTAAAACTGAATATCATCTTTGTGAAGTTATGGCCGGAATTACATGTAGTTTCTGCAAGTTGAATATATATCTGCCATTTTAATTTTATTTCATCTGACATAATATAAATCTAACTTTATCTAACTTTATTTAAAATTTTTACAAGCTACTGAATATTGATTGAAGCACTTGGCAACAGTGCAATCACCATGAGCAGATACATGTACGCTTAGCGTATCTATATTTTCCATGGCTAGACGTCTGTTTAGCTATACGCGCCGGTTGGCGTGACGTCCTAATTGTGTATACCTAACTTCACACTATTATTTTTAAATGCAAAACCACTTCGATTCCAAGCATGAAACTTTTGTGGAATAGCAAGCAATAATCAGGCTTTTAGACGCTGTAATTTTTGTTTCAAATTTTTAGGTACCAGGAACGTTTTATACCCATTAAACTTAGCCATTTTTCGTATGGTTTGCGAGGCTTCGAAAAGAGGTCCCTCAAAAAAATTCATAATAAAATAACAATTAAACTTAGGATCGTTATAACAGTCAGATAGCAAACTTAAATAGTACCTTGAAACAAGCGTGGAATATGGAGTCAGTCCTTTCATAAATTTGGGTTAAATGTCAGCCGGTTCAAGCATGAAAATTAACTCATTCCCCGCAAAATCAGGATTTCGTAAAAATCTTACGAAAAAAAACGCAGCAACTTTTTAGTATTTTTTTCCATTGTAGGAACACTAAATGGGTTGATTTGGTGAAATAAAAAAAAATTCGAATATTTTCATTTCACTTGAGATTCTCGGTTTTTACAGGCAGACGCTCTTTAACCTCTCTGTGTTAATTTCAAGCGATGGTGATATTAACGAAGATTGGCGGTAATTGGAAGGATACTTTCTTAGCGACGGCATCGATATGGTTGTTGTTGATTATAAGACAATATAGTATGGGATAGGGGAAGGGGGATATAAATTGCTTACTTGGTGTTCTTGGCAATGACATTCAGTTCAGAAATCAGGGTGAATGATACATCTACAACGGCAACATGTGGAAGAATCATTACTTTCATAGTTTCATAATAATATTCTCAATGGCCAACACAATTAGTCAATTTTCTTGTCAAAAATTGCGAATCAGTTCGTTTCCACTGCGTATTAAATGATGAAACCCTTCAAATGGTTGCCAAAAATGCACTATCGACATTTGCCATATTTAGACTAGCAAAATGACGTTGTTTTGACTGCGTTTGATGTATAATTGTAATCGTAAATTCACAAATTTCCCTTTGTTTCATCCTTCAGTAAGCCGCCATTTTGAAATTAGTATCATTACGTCATTTACGCTGTCGTTGATTGGCTATGAGCACGCTTACAAACTTCCGGTACGCGCACGATAGCAATATATCTGCATTCGTAGATACAAAATCTCTGTACGGCGGAAGTTAAGGAAAGCTCCTACATCTACTAACCTGAAAATGCTGCGTGAAAGTCGTTCAAAGTACATCAACTCTATTTGTGATGATCACGGAAATAACCCAAAGCGTTTCTGGTCGCTCTTCAAGCTAAAAACCAAATCTTGCAATGTTCCCGAGAAAGTCTAAATGGGGGTTGAAGGATATTCAAGGAAATACTCAGAAACATCAGCGAACATAGCAACTCTCTTTAATAATTATTTTACATCCATCTTCACCAATGATCCAGATACTTCTATAGACCCGTCCACGATCGATGATAACATTTCCTTGTTGGAGGATGTTGTTTTAACACCAAACGACGTAGCTAATGTACTAAGAACTCTTGATAACGACAAAGCTCATGGAATTCCAGACGAGATTCCTGCTCGTTTACTAACAGAAACTGCATCTCAAATAGCTCCATCTCTATGTCAATTGTTTAACAAATCGTTGCGTATCGGCGTGGTACCATTTGATTGAAAACTCGCTAATGTTCTTCCTGCTCATAAAAAAGGAGACCAGGAATTTGTGGAAAATTATCGACCTATATCTCGGCTCTCTCTGGTTTCGAAAGTTCTGGAACGCTGTGTCTTCAATACCATCAAAGACCATATTTTCTGTCGAATAAATCCTTGTCAACATGGTTTCCTTCCCGGGAAAAACTGAGTGACCCAACTTATCGAAGTTTTTGACAAGATAGGAAAACAACTAGATCGTGGCAAACAGATGGATGTAATTTATTTAGATATGTCAAAGGCTTTTGACAAAGTTAGCCATAAACGTCTTCTTCTTCGTCTCCGTGAATTTAGTTTTGGAGGCAACATTCTCAACTGGTTCCGCTCCTACCTACAAGATCGTCGTCAACAAACAACCATCCTCGGTGCAACATCTTTACCTAGTCAAGTAACATCAGGGGTACCTCAGGGCTCCATTCTCGGACCGGTATTATTTTTGTTATACGAAAATGATCTCACTTCTTCTGTGAAGAATTCATCCATTGCAACATACCCCGACGACACCAAAATCTTCAAAGAAATCCATAATATCGGTGATGTTGCATCGTTACAGGAGAACCTGAGTAATTTTGAATCAAGTTCTTCAGATATGGGTCTTCACTTAAACACTTCCAAATGTAAAGCTCTGCGGGTCACCAGAAAACATCGCCAGATCAAGTATCCATACACCTTACAAGATAGCATGTTAGAAAACGTTGAAAGTGAGCGTGATCTCGGCGTATCGATATCAAACAATTTGAACTGGCGCAAACAAGTATTGGAACAATGCTCAAAAGCAAATAAAATGTTGGGTTTCATCAAAAGATCAACAAGAACAATCAAGAGCTGTAAAGCCCGTCGGACGCTATATATCACACTTGTTCGATTGCAAATGGGATATGCTACACAAGTTTGGTCTCCGCAAACCATCGACCTCATCGCTCGCTTAGAACATGTACAAAGACGTGCTTCTAAATACATTTTAGATCTACCTTTCCTTTGTGAAAGCAGCTACATCCAAAGGCTTATTGACTTGGTCTTTCTACCTCTAAGTTATTGGCATGAATATCTAGACATTTTTCTACAAGGCAAATTGCGGTATCATGTGCCTCTCGGATGCAGTTGTTCCCAAACATAATGAAAACTCACGAATTACAAGATCAGTGGATCGGATCCGAACTCCATAAACTTCCAAGTTATGAAACGTAAAACCTCTACCTACCAACAGACTTATACGATAAGAACAACAAGAATATGGAACATATTACCAGGATCAATAACCGATAAATCTAACTCTTTAATTAATAATCTTTAAAAATCTCTTAATTAAATATTACTATTATGAATTCCACATCATATTATGATTATCCACATCATAGGAATTATGATGTGGATAATCCTCGGTCGGGGAAAATAATCTGCCCGAAATGTAACCAGGCCTGGGACCTAACCAAACCTATTGCATGTTGTTTTTAAATCAGATATGTATCTATTTATACATATATTCGGGGAGTTGCAACTAAAAGAATGGTTCAGAATCTACTTCTGACAAGATGCACGAGAAAATTAGAACAAATACTCTTGATTGGCACAGTTTTGATGGAGGTATATAATGTCGTTGTCGACAGCATGGAGGCAAGCGATTATCGAGCAGGAGAGGCATTGTATTTGTCTAAACCTAAAACAGAAGCTGCGATTGCATTCATAATTCTAGCTTGTATATAGGAGCCATGTTTTCGCTGCGAAAAGTATCTTTACTGTAATCTATTACTGGAAAGTAACGCAAAAAGAGAAAAGAGAATGGAATTCCGAATATCATCAAGAAGCATCAAGAAACAATCGTGAAAGAAAAGAAAAAATAGAGAGACGCTTTACTCTCACAACCTCGCATTTAAATCCCTTACACTTATCTTTGAAGACATCGCTCAAGCTGCACAATACCCTACTGGTTTGTCACACGCTGTTCTGTTGATTTTTACTCCAAATTGAAAATAAGGTTCATTTGTGTTTCTCCATTTTTGAATTTTGCATACTTTACTTTGATATTTGTCAGAATGTATGGG